AAAGTTTGCCATAATCTTTCTGTAAAAGTATCATAAAACAAGGCAAGTTTCAAAGTAGAATAATTTTCAAGTTGGTGGGTCAAAAAATCATAAAATTTGGTTGAATACTTTTAAAATTATATGTATTTGAATTCGGCTAATTTTTATTCCTGATTTAGGCAGAGGATTTTCTGCCCGACGGCGCGGGCCGAAAAGTCGCTGAAATTTTAAAAATTAATAAAATTTCAAAATTCCAAATAGTGTTTGTTTGTTCTTGGTGTAAATACATTTCATTGTGAAAGTAACGAAGAATTTCATTTTATGAGCCGAGAGTCGTTGGTCGGTTCTTAGAGAGACAGCCTCTTAAGTAAACAGGGCCTAAATTAATTTAGTAGTTTCATTGAATTGTTTGTCTTGCTTTTATTTGTCAGTACAGAATATTGTAAATTAAAATATTACTACAATGCAATATGTGTAGTATTTCATTAGACATCTGCACTACATTATAAATACTGTACAAGGAAAACTATGGCTTAAATAATAGTAGACATTTCTTGTTTTGTCAGGAAACATCACAGCTCACTTCGACACAGCTTTTGAGTTTTGTAACCGGCCGAGGCGAAAGGAAATCATGTAGTCAGGAAAACGACTTACTTTGAAAGCCTATTTTGCAAAACATACTCGTACACACAAGAATCATAAAAAATACAAATGTTGAATTGTTATTGTCAACTGTCAAGTTAAGTTATTTTTAGACAATATGGTGTTAGCCAATCAGAATGCAAAATTGACCGGCCCAGAACAGGTGGGCAATTTGTCTGAGCATGCGCGAAGAAAATCAATATGGCGACATATATTAGGAGTGTTTCGTGAATTTATCTGGTTTTAAAGCTGATAAAACAACATTTTAATGAACGAAAACTTTGTAATATTTAGTGGAAAACATTAAGCTATGCATTCCAAAGGTTTTAAATTGAAAATAAGTAATTGCTTTCTGAAACTTTCACCTCTGTTCATATTAAATAATTTTGTGTTTTTAATTTAAATCAAGGATCACACAAGAGGTTTTTGATAATACTTTTATTTTAGCTACGTTTTGGATAGTTTACTATCCGTCCTCAGGCTAACAAATTGTTCTGCCTGAGGACGGATAGTAAACTATCCGAAACGTAGCTAAAATAAAAGTATTATCAAAAACCTCTTGTGTGATCCTTGATTTAAATTAAAAACACAAAATTATTGAAAATAAGTACTTTTGCTTTATTTTATTGCTTTTTATGCTTTGAAAACAGGCAAGCTAATTTTTTTGCAAAAATCTAATCTAATACTTTACCCATCTTTTGTTTAATCTGAACAGAAATAGATAGAACACTTGGCTATATAAGTTACAAAGGTATTGTTAGCTTATCTGAAAGATTTCATTATTCCTGGTACACATTTTAACAAAGAATGAAATGTAATTTCAAAAATTTAATATGCATATCACAAGCAATAGTTTTTATTAGAACAACACATAATACGTTGTTATTTTCTATTTTTACAAAAACAAGTTTGGAAACAGGATTTAGTCCTCCAGCTTGATGTCATATTCCATTTATTTGGATATTGCAATAAAGGAATGTGAAATAATAATTTAATCTTGTGCAAAATTTGATACCAACACACATGTGAACAGATACTATCACCTAAAAATAAAAGAAAACAGAACTTAAATTTATCATCTAATGCTATGAAAAAAATCTTAGATACTACAGGCATATAGTGAGCACAATTATTTAACAAACTCACTAAAATATGTTAAGTTATACTATGATAAGAGGATGGCAATAGATAACAACACCAAATGTTGTCATCTTCAGCATCCAAAAAAAGTGCCGCGCGCATTTTTTGTGGTCGCATAACTGGTATTGCCCCAAACCCAGGTGAAAAAGCAATTAGAAAAACCTGGTTTGGGGTGATGAGCATAGTCAAATTCTTGACTTATTCAATTTTCTAAACAGATTAAACATTAGGTAAACAGATTAAACATTGAAATAAGCCACATTTGGGACCTCATAGAATCCAAACTATTGTGTATGGACCAGACTTTTTTCAATTTTCTGTGATTTGCATAACACTAATTATAATTTACGGGTCAACCAGTATTGTTCAAGACATATTTTCCTTCCAGAACACCTTTTCAAAATATTAACCCAAACATATCAAAAATAGTGTACATTTACAAGGGCAATTTCAACCCTCTGGCACATTTTCCCCATGAATGATTTCAATTCTAATAAAAAGACTATAGATAAAACTTTGATTTAAAGCTAGTTTCAAGTGATGAGCATACCCTAATTTTTAAGCTATACCTCAAAGAAGATGGGCCATTTCAACATAAACATTGAAATATGGGTATACTGACAGCTCTGTCACACATGTAGTTTGACATTAGCAGCCCTTCTGAAACATTTTAATGAAAGTATAATTCACAAAATTCACATTTTCACTTACTTCTTAACATCTGTTTTAACCCCTCTAGCTCTGTAGGCACGAGCGAAATTTAGTGTTGATGTAAATATCCATTTAGTTCATGTTTCCCCGGTGAAAATATAGTCTATTCCAACGCTGATTTCGACGTACTTTAGCTTTTCAGAAACCGTTGGCCTTCCTCAGTGAGATTATCAACTGTTTCACAAACATATTTGATAGTAAACAACTAAAATATTCTCCGAAAGTCTATATTTTTGCTCTTCGATGTGAAAATGGCAACTCAAGAAGAAATGAGCCGCTATTTTTGGTCAGCGTCAACAAATTGCCCACCTGTTCCGGCCCAGACCAGGGGGGCTTCCTCGTCTCTCCCCTCATCCTCACACTGAAGCCCTGGGAACGAGGTTGGGCAGTATGTTAAAATAGGGCAAATAGAATCTGAGATGCTTACTACAACCTGCAGCATCCCACAGGGCAGATCTCTCAACTTTGCAGAGAAGGTAAGAGTGAGGTTCGGGATGTGGATGACATGCACCTTAGTAAACGTCCGGGGGTCTAAATTGGCATTTCGTACATTATGAGAGTTGGTGTTTTTTAATGAAATACATTGCTTCATAACATCCTTTAAGACAAGGCACTTTAGTTACAATAACTGTATTTCTGTGAAATACAGTAATCAGCTTTGATAATTTACATATAGAATTCTGCTTGGACTGATTCTACCTTTTGTCCGCCATATTTACATATGTGTACTATTTCGTATCCAAATTGCAGGCAAAATGTCGCACCGTCGCTTTCCCTATATCCTTTCCCTATATCCTCCCTATATCCGCTTTCCCTATATCCTTATGTTCATCTCCCTTCTTACTGCCAATGTCAAACATAGGTTTAGTGTCCTCCGACAACTGGGCTCTCTCATTGTATGTCAAACACCAACAATCTCTTGCGGAGTCTAGCCTTGTTTGATCACCGCTTTAATCTCCATTCAAATCATCTTAATGTAACTTTTTATCAAGCATTCACTGATGACTAAAGCCAATTTAGATGCAATTAAAGAAAGTCAAAATTTTTAGCATTAAAATTTGACGAGTTAGTCGCCTCAATAAACGAAGTTAAAACAGAAAAGCGGAAAATAAATCAACAATTACAGCAACGTGTTCAAGTTCTAGAGGGGAAAGTCTCAGCAACCAAAAAAGATGTGGAAAACCTGTGTCGATATTCACATAGGGACACACTGGAAATCCAAGGAGTCCCTGTTGCCGAAGGCAAAAATACTAACGCCATTGTTTTAAAAGTTGCTCAGCTTGCAGTCGCCGAGGGAAATTTTGATTAATCAATTTTATCACTGAGTCACCGCCTACCTGCTGGAAGAGGATACACGCCGAAAATTATCACTAAATTTGCTCGAAGGGACGTTCGTGACATAATTTATAGTAAATGATGAAACCTTATCTTGAAATCGACCAAAGATCTTGGCTTAATTAATTGTGGAAAATAGCATTTATATTAATGAAAGCTTGACTGCACAGAGTAGAGCCATTTTGTAGATGCAAAGAAGTTCCAAAAGCAATACAAGTTCATCTGGACTAAAAACGGAAGAGTATTTTTGAATCACCAACCCACATATTTGATTCATTAGAAGAGCTTCTGGAGTTTAAAAACAATTTTCTTCACCACCATGGTTGTCTCTCCTAATTGGTCATGTACATTTGTGATAAGCTAAGTTAATCTTCTTGTGTGTTTTTGTTATTCTAATGTCTTCAGAGTCTTTCAATGACGTATTACCTTTTAGTAGTCTTGACGATGATAGCTTTGAATTGGAATTGTATGAAATGTCGCATGGTCGATTTAATTTTGAAGCCGAAAGATTATTTAATTTAAAGTTAAATCCACTTCATTGCAATAACCAGCAAATGTTAATGTTAACACGTAATTTAGATCCGGATTCTAATTTTTCCAATGATACCTTGAATTGTGATTTCTACAATGAGGGTAGTTTAAATAGCATGCAGCGTGATAAGACATCAAGCAAGAATTGTTTATCTTTTATGCATTTCAATATACATAGTTTATGTTGTAACTTAAATCAGCTACAACATTTACTTGCAAATATAAATACTAAGTTTTTGGTTATAGGTATTTCTGAGATGTGGCTTCAGGATTTAGCTGCTTACCATGCTGACATTCACTTGCCTTGTCGTGAATTAAGCAGTCCAGTTAATGTAAATAGTCCAGTTGACATTACGTAATTAGACATGTAGATTGCATCAGCTACGAACACGAACAGAGATTGAGATGTCTAACATGAACATGTTTAGATAGTACGAACACATGTAGTTTTCCTCAACCTTTTTAGCTTTAAATATATAACCATAAAACGAAGACAGTTTCTCTTACTTACTCGATCGAACCTCGCTATTCTCTACATTGGTACCGTGACCAGGATGGAGGAACTCACAAGAATACAAGCATAGAGACGAGCTCACAAAGCACATGTGACAAGATTAGTAAAGAAAACCAGCGAAATTTTAACGAACGAAAAGCCCGACGAAATGTTACTAAGCAGTTTAAATACATCCCTCGAACAATTAGTAAGGAAAAGGGATTTGATACGGGAATTAGACCAGAAAATCGAAGCGAAAACTACAGACGAAAAGAACTTAGAAACGGAGATATTCGAAGCCGAAGAACTGAGCTGTGACCTGGAAGAAAAGATCAACCACATTCGTAAGTACATTGACTTATCTATTAGCGCTTTGAACAATCCATCTACTGTATCTACACAAGAAAATACTGGCTCAAGTTTGCCATCTGTTTCACAAAATACAAATACAGAACCGTCATCTGCAGCAGCCGATGTACAGTCTCATTATCAATCAACCCCAGACCATCCACCATTACAAACTAACCCCTTGAATACTAGCACCTCTTCGGAAGAGACTCCCACAACTCAACTTCCATCTTCAAATACAGTACCCAATATGTCTCAAACAATATGTAAACTCCCAAAGCTGAATCTTCCTGTATTTTCTGGGAACCTCCTAGACTGGCAGTCATTTTGGGACTCCTTTGAAGCAGCAGTCCATAGAAACCCCTCATTAAATGGAATTAAAAAGTTCAACTATTTGAAAGCGCAACTCAAGAACGAAGCACTGCATTCAATTATGGGTTTTCAACTTACGAACAGTAATTACGAGCAAGCAGTCACCCTCCTTAAGGACAGATTCGGACAAACTCATAAAGTTATTAATGCACATATGCAAGCACTCCTAGATATCAGGAGTCCTAACGGACAGTTGGAAGACCTTCAGAAATTTTACGATACATTAGAAACACACATTCGTGGTCTCGCATCACTTGGAAAAGCACATGAATCATACGGTGATCTCTTGATACCCATAATCCTTGGCAAGCTCCCAAACGATGTACGAAAGAACTTAGCACGTGAACATGAAACCCTAGATTGGACCATCGACCAACTTCGAAACGCCTTACAGAAAGAACTAAGAATTCTAGAGGCAGGGAAATTTGTCAACCCAACATTAATTGAAAGTAAGGACACTAAATCATCTATTACATCATCCTTCTACACTGGTATCCCTAAAGATCCCTCGTCATCCCATTACCCAAATCCCAGAGCAAAGGCCCCACCACCATGTGTCTACTGTAAGAAAGCGCACTCATCTAAACATTGCCAAACAGTTACAGATTACCAAAAACGATTAGAAACAGTCAAGAAAGAAAATCTTTGTTTCAATTGCCTTGGACACCATAAGGCTTCTAAATGCCGCTCGAAGAACCGCTGCACGAATTGCAATCGCAAACACCACACAAGTTTCTGCAATAAGGAAAATGAACCGTCGACATCCAAGGAGCAAACCACCCACAATGAAGATACTCAAACCCCAGAAGTCACACATGCAACATTAACACCCACAGCACAGATGAGCTACATGGGTCCCAGTCCCCATCAAACCTCATTACTCAAACCAGCCATTGCGACAATTAGATCAGACAGCACTGCTATCGAAACTAACACTCTTTTTGATGAGGGTGCCCAATGTAGTTTTATATCACAGTCTCTTGCATCAAAATTAGGACTACAGTCTTCAACTAAAGAAACCATCAACCTCGCCACGTTTGGTGCAGTTACCCCAACCAGAAGAAACCTAGATGTTGTTACGATACACATTGAAACTGAATCATCAGGAAATATTCCAATACAAGCCCTCATTGTTCCAGAAATCGCCACTCCATTGCAGAATTCAGTCAGAACTGCTACTCAGAACTACCCCTACCTACAGGGCCTTAAACTTGCACATCCAGTGACCGACAATGAGAACTTTGAAATATCATTACTAATTGGTGCTGATCATTATTGGGACATTGTTGAGGATCACATCATTCGAGGCAACGGTCCAACAGCCATGCAATCCAAGCTAGGCTACCTGTTATCCGGACCTGTAGCATCCACAGCCAGTACCAGGAACTATCCAACCAATATGCTGAATGTTATGCTTTCCCATCATGAAGAAGATGATCGTATCAAACGGTTCTGGAATTTAGAAACTTTGGGTATTACCGAACCAGATCCACACATTGAAGAAAACAGCTTTATCCATGAGTGTCAACAAACATCCATTTCTCGCGAACGGGACGGAAGTTACACAGCAAGATTTCCTTGGAAGAAGGATCACCCCCCACTACCTATGAACAACATCGTCTGCGAAAAACGCACTAGGGCTACAATCGAGAGATTGAACCAAACACCCGATTTGCTACGCACTTATGGCTCTATCATCAAAGAACAAGAACAAAGGGGCTTCATCGAGAAAATTCCCAATACAGCAAATAACCACAACGTCCATTACGTACCCCACCACCCAGTTAAGAAAGATTCACCAACCACTCCTATTCGGATCGTTTACGACTGCAGCTGCAAAGCATCCCCGAAACTTGCAAGCCTTAATGATTGCCTTCAACCCGGTCCACCACTTCTCAACGATATGTCAGCAATCCTCCTTTCGATTTCGTACCCACAGCTATGGTATTGTTACTGATATAGAGAAAGCATTCCTCCACCTTAACTTACATGAGGACGATAGAGACTTCACTCGATTCCTATGGTTATCGGATCCCGCAGATCCAAACAGTTCCTTTGACACCTATCGTTTTAAGGCTGTTCCTTTTGGGACCACAAGCTCTCTGTTCATGCTAAATGCAACAGTTCAACATCACTTAGAAAATTTCAACTCACCTGTTTCCCTTGATATAAAAGGAAATATGTACGTTGACAACGTGATCTCTGGTACTGACACTGAAACATCTGCAATCAACTACTACAATGAAGCAAGATTTATTATGAATGATGCCAAATTCAACCTGCGCTCTTGGGCTTCAAATTGTTCTGATTTACAAGATTTAACGATTCAAGAAAACACAGCCGATACAGGTGATGAAATTAGCGTTCTCGGTATGCATTGGAAAACCTCTTCTGATACCCTTGCATTAACCAACAAAGCCACCTTGAACACTCGTCAACAACTAATCACCAAACGCGAAGTTCTCCAACAGTCTTCAAAGATATTTGATCCCTTGGGCATAATAACACCGATAACCATTCGTGCGAAAATCTTCATGCAACAGCTTTGGCAAGAATCCATTGATTGGGATGAACCATTAAATGAAACTTTGACAGAAAACTGGCAGAAAATAGTCGATGATTTACAAGCAGCGCTCATGACCACCACCATCCCTCGACGATACCACCTGAGTTCAAACTCCAAAACCGTAGCTCAATTGCACTGTTTCGTTGATTCTAGTATCAAGGCATACGGAGCTGTCACATACCTTAAGCACGGACACGAGATTTAATTTGTTATGGCTAAAACTTGCGTCGCCCCGATTAAGAAGTTAACACTACCTCAACTCGAGCTGATGGCAGCATTAATTGGCACTAGATTACTCTCCTTCATACACAACACAATGAACAGCCGATACGATACGATAGAAGTTTATCTTTGGTCTGACAGCCACATCGTTTTATATTGGATCAACAAGCTTAAACAGTTCGTCGCCAATCGCGTTAACTCGATTAAAGAGCTCTTTCCTCCCAGCACTTGGCATTATTGTCCTACACATGAAAACCCCGCAGATATTCTTACTCGTGGTTTGACTACTCACCAAATGCAATCCTCATCGCTATGGCAAAACGGTCCAGCTTGGCTTACGTTATCCCAAGAACATTGGCCTCCTTGGTCAACAGCAGCAACCTTTCTAACCCAAGCCATTCAAACACCCGAAACGGTTGAGATCAGTCCATCGCCAATCCACCCAACAATCAATATATGCAACGAATACGGCATCCATTGCATTATTGACATAGCACAATTCAACTGTTTAGATCGGTTAATACGAGTTACATCTTACATGTTAAGGTTTATCGGACAGTTAAGAAAGCGAACATCCTTTAAAGAAGCTCAGCTCACAGTTGAAGAAACCACCACAGCCGAAACATTATGGATACAGAGTTGTCAACAGTCCACTTATCAATCAGAACTAGACAATCTCATTTCAAAGAACAAACCTCGTATCACTTTAGTCAAGCAACTTCGATTATTTATAGACAATCAGTGTCTCATCTGATGTCGAGGCAGGATTCACAATGCTCCAGTGAGCGAGTCAACCAAGTTCCCAATCCTGCTCCCTACCAACCACCCATATACTAAACTAGTCGTTTTATCTATCCACCATCAACAGCTTCACTCAGGCGTTAATTCAACACTCACAGCAGTACGACAAAGATTCTGGATCCCACGAGCAAGGCAACTCATACGGAAAATCCTACGAAAATGCGTCATATGTCGGAAACAAAGCGGAAACCCGTACACCATCCCAGACCCACCTCCTCTACCAAAATGGCGTCTTGAAGACTCGCCACCATTCACTGTGACAGGCGTGGACTTTACCGGTGCACTTTATGTGAAGACATCATCGATAGAAAACAAAGTCTATGTGTGCCTATTCACCTGCGCCAATACACGAGCAATACATTTAGAAGTTGTCGAAGATTTAAGCGAAGGAACCTTCCTTAAAGCATTTCGAAGATTCGTCAGCCGTAGATCGCTACCTCGAAAGATGGTATCAGACAATGCAACTACATATTTGTCGGCCGCAGAGGAGTTAAAGCGTCTCCTAGACTCCGTATCTCTGAAAGAAACATTGAGTCGTCGCGGTTGTGATTGGATCTTCATTCCTAAACGTGCCCCGTGGTACGGAGGTTTCTGGGAAAGGCTCATCGGATTAACTAAGAATGCGCTTAAGAAAGTCCTCGGACGAGCACAAGTCACCTTATCAGAATTACAAACGATAATCGTGGAAATAGAAGCCATACTGAATGATCGACCGCTCACCTATGTATCTGCAGATATTGATGACGAAGAAGCTCTTACACCCTCCCACTTGCTTAATGGACGTCGCATCACATCACTACCTCACGAAAAGGTTGACGATGAAGACATCCATGACCCTGATTATGGAAATCTTACCGAAGTGACAAAACGAGCCCGAAGGCAGGCACTTCTCCTTCAACATTTTAGAAATCGCTGGAGAACCGAGTACTTGACATCTTTACGCGAGTTTCACAGGACCACTGGAAATAACAAGCAAATAATCAACATAGGAGATGTAGTCTTAGTCCACGATGACAAGCCAAGGATAAATTGGAAACTAGCAGTGATTGAAAACCTTATTGAAGGTGAAGACGGTCAAATACGAGCAGCTCACATACGCACAGCAACCGGCAAAACAAACCGACCAATCGCCAAATTGTATCCTCTCGAAGTACGTGCAACGACTAGAGCAGACAATCCAGTTGAAACGAAAGAATCTATAATCCACAACGAAAACACTCCAGAAGATCGAATGGAAAGACCCATTAGAGCAGCAGCTAAAAACGCATTACGACAGATTTCAAATTGGGCGAAAGTGTTAAATGCGCCCCCGGAGGATGTCGTGAATTAAGCAGCCCAGTTAATGTAAATAGTCCAGTTGACATTACGTAATTAGACATGTAGATTGCATCAGCAACGAACACGAACAGATATTGAGATGTCTAACACGAACACGTTTAGATAGTACGAACACATGTAGTTTTCCTCAACCATTTTAGCTTTAAATATATAACCATAAAACGAAGACGGTTTCTCTTACTTACTCGATCGAACCTCGCTATTCTCTACACCTATGCATTGTTTGCGAAAGTTTCTTAGGCCCGGTTTAGACGGCGAACTTTTCATGCGCCGAATCTAATACAAGGATTAAGTGCGACGTTGGAGCGGCGTCTAAATTAATTAAGTTCGGCAGGTTTTGATTAAGTTCGACACGACTCGAAGATGCGACAGGACAAGTCGTATATGCGACACAGGTTCGACATTGATTTAGACGCCGTGCTTTTCATGCGCCGAACCTAATGCATAATTATTTTTTAACATCATAATATGATTATCATATATTTGCATTGTAAATATTTCCAATATAATGTCTTCGCAATTTGATACGGTGCAATTAAGTTCGACGTCTAAATCAGTTTCCGATATTTTGCCGTATCTACGACAATTAGATTCGGCGCATGAGAAGTTCGCCGTCTAAACCGGGCCTTAGTCAAATTAACTTTTGTAGAAGTTCATGATAAAAACGAAAGCAAATTGTTTTCATTAGCGTCCTGTACGAATTAAATTTGTTTCATTTCAAAGTGCGAGTAATAAGTTGAAGCTCGAGTTGAGAAGTTTATAAATATCGGCAAAAAGCAGTTAATTTCAATTCACATTTAAAAACGTTTTACGTAGAGTTTCGTTTTGAATTTTACATTAAAATAAAGCCCATAGAAACCAAAATATTATACCTACTTTATATATTTTAGAAATTGATAGTTCTGTATTTACGGTGTTCAAATTTCATTATTTTTTCCCGGTTTGTACAAAATGAAATTAAAAAACAATATATTTATCGTGTTGCCTTGACTAACATGACGTGCAACGCGAGCCTGCGTTCAGTGTTGGCGTAATTACGAGTACTTCATGTTGAAACAATGTTTGGAAAATATAGGCGAGGGGTTGTTGCATGCATGTATTTCTAGTCTAAGCATATGAAAGACCTAATTAGGCTATGTTCGGGGTTAGTAAAATCATACCTTTATCGAGTTTAAATATAGCCTACGTATTGAAAACGTTACAGTTTCTCCCTAATGTTTAATCTTTAAATTTAATTTGTTCAGGAATTTTTTCATGATTTCAGCCAAGGCTAAAATAACATCACTCAAAAGGTGACGGTGTGCCTTTCTTAAGCATATCAATGAACTGATAACTGTAATCATTTAGCTGGGTGGTTTCGAATATCGATATTAAGATACGCTATTATTTAACTGACCAATGCACGATCAGTTAGCGATCAACGCTCATGATGTAATTTCATAATTATGACTTATATATAATATTTACTCCAACAACTACCTCAGAGACTGCAACTAATAACTAACTGCATCATCAAGTTGTTCATTTGAAACAATTCCTCCATGTATAATCCCTTTTTCTTTACAAAAACGTTTGATACTTGAGAACTGAAACTTCGCTGCTCTGGATACGTTGTTGACGCAAAACATCTGCTAAATCTTCCATGGTGTTTCCTTTCTTCGTCAAAAATTCTCAAATAAAACCTTCGTGTTCATCCAGAGCAGCCATATTAAATTGCTATGGAAAAAATAATCGGGGGGGGGAGTCGATCTTCAACTTCCCAAACTCGAAAACGTTCCGAAAACGAAGTTTGTGCCATTTTTATATGGAGAATGTAAAAAAAATTGTTTCAAAATCCGTTTCCGTCTTTAAAGAATCTGAAAACGATATTTGATCGTGAGATCGTTTATGTTTTCCAAAAGCGCTTAGGAAACAGTTGGCCCTTTAAAGTATATGCTAATTTTGAAAAACGAAACACGGAAATCAACGACTGATTTTCGTTTTTCTAGAGGTGGGAAAACGGATGACCCTTTGATAAACGCATTCTTCAGCCGTTATTTAAGCCGAGGCGTATGATAACTATTTCCAGCTAGATCGTGGACGACTCAAATCATTGCTCTTTTACATGCCTCAAATGTCGGGGCTTAACTCGAGCGTCGAATATTTTCAATGGCTTCGAGTTAAGCCCCCCATATTCACGGGGCTTAACTCGAACTTTCCGAGGTGCGTTTCTCTCTTCGAGTTAAGCCCTTGACGAAAATGGGTGTGGTTTGGGCGTGGTCGGGGCTTAACTCGAAAAGGGCTTAACTCGAAGATTACCTACACGTTAGTGGAATAGTATTTTGCAGGTTTCATATCTTCGGTTCAGTGAATGCTATGTAGATAAAAATGATACTACCGTTCAATTCAGTGAAACTAATCCCTACCGATAGTTTTAGTCAAAGAAAAACCGATTATAGCGATTTATGAGCTTTGAGTGGTCAAGCGATTTCAAATTACATATTAATTTTTCTGTGTTGGTGTTTTGTACTCAGGTGAATAATATGTTTGCGATGTTACTCTGAGTGCATATCCACACCGGGCGAGCTTGAAAAATATGCCCGGCCACGGTGGGATTCGAACCTACGACCTTTGGAATACTAGCCCAATGCTCTTCCAACTGAGCTACGCGGTCAGGACGGTTCGAGTAAGTGATATTTCGGAACAGTATCTAGTTCCTTCTATACCAATGTGTTCTTACTAATATGAATTTTTCTGTGTTGGTGTTGTGTACTCAGGTGAATAATATGTTTGCGATGTTACTCTGAGTGCGTATCCACACCGGGCGAGCCCGAAAAACATGCCCGGCCACGGTGGGATTCGAACCTATGACCTTTGGAATACTAGCCCAGAACTTACTCGAACCGTCCTGACCGCGTAGCTCAGTTGGAAGAGCATTGGGCTAGTATTCCAAAGGTCGTAGGTTCGAATCCCACCGTGGCCGGGCATGTTTTTCGGGCTCGCCCGGTGTGGATATGCACTCAGAGTAACATCGCAAACATATTATTCACCTGAGTACACAACACCAACACAGAAAAATTCATATTATAATTAGTAAGAACACATTGGTATAGAAGGAACTAGATACTGTTCCGAAATATCACTTACTCGAACCGTCCTGACCGCGTACGTAGCTCAGTTGGAAGAGCATTGGGCTAGTATTCCAAAGGTCGTAGGTTCGAATCCCACCGTGGCCGGGCATATTTTTCAAGCTCGCCCGGTGTGGATATGCACTCAGAGAACATCGGAAACAAATTACATATTGTTTGAAGAATGTATACAATGTATTACTAAGCCATATATTTCGCCGAACATAACTTCGGCACCTTCGGCATATCTTTTTCGTTGTAGTCTTGTTGGAATTAAAATCTAAAACACTATTTAGAGTGTTATTTATTTTCAAGCCTGTAGCTTCAGGTTTTCATCCTTTTTTTCGGTATTTCAGTCTGTAGTAATATTAGTGAAGTCAACGGGATATTTTTTATCTGAAATACAATTTTGATTTGCCAAAACATTGCACGTTTGCATCCTGGAAACACTGAACGAAAATCGATTCTAAAGGTCAAATTACAACTGTAGTGTGATTTGCACGTGCATCGGGCTACGGGTACTCATATACTCCACGCGCGTGCGAGTAAAAACCCGATATTTCGAAAACATCGGAATAAATATTTCTACTCCCCGTATTCAGACGAAACTTTCTACATGAAAGCGGTTGAATACAAGGTGTATTTTACTCGATTGACTTTCGGAATTGAAAAGGTACTTCTTGGGAAGATATTCAGAATTTAAATTCAAAGATTTGAAACCTGTAAACTAATATTCCACTAAGGTTCAGTTACACTGCCGGTATGGTTTAATTAGCACCTGTCGAGAAAATAATCAGTAGAACTTAGAAGCTCTTACCTTTCATTTCCCACAAATAAGTATGGCGTTTCGTTACGGACAATATTATGAAAGTTGTAGATATAATATCAAAGCCAATATTAAAATGCCAAAACTCGCAATATAAATATGAAACGTTCCAATTAAAATGAAGTCGTCAAACGTTATATCAAAGTCATGGGCAATTTATTTCAAAACATCTGTAACAAATATATAAACGCACGCATTAGATATTAAAATCCGTCATCAAAATATCAAATTTTCACGCACACAAAAATATCAAATTTCACGCACACAATAAGTATCAAATTTCACGCACACAAAAAATATCAATTTTTTACGCACAAAAAAATATCAAATTTTACGCACACAAAAAAATCAAACTTGTAGATAAAAAGCGGACGCGGACGGCAGAGTGCGGACGACGGAGCATTTTATAAATAAATTAAAGTATATCAGCCTTAGATCTGTAAAATGAATATGTTTTCACCCGCTCCGAATGGCTTCACCATTCATTCGTATGTATGATAGGCTATTTGCCGTCTTTCTCGGGAAACGTTTGGAAATATTGTAACAGCTTAAGGAACCATTAGAAAAGTAATGGGGGGGGAGAGAGATGTGGAAAAAGCAAAAATAAAAATCGCACGGGGGAAACAGATAAAAAAAATACGTGCACCAAAAAGTATGAAGAAAAAAATCGTGCAGAGACTTTTCAATAGGGAAAATTATAAGTTGAAATAAAAAAATTCGTGCAAGAAATTATATTTTAAAAAATTATCTACACAAGCAAAAATTTTTAAAAAATATTCGTACAAATCAAAAAAGTCCCCCCCCCCCCCGCCCGTCACTTTTCTAATGATCCGCCCCTTTGTTTTGGAGCTTCTGTTATAAGCAGGAGTATTAAAGGGTATTGGCAACAAAAAATGTTATTGATTTTATTGCTTCATCTGAAGGCCGGCCGGAGCATGAAAAAATAACCGATTGGCCGTTTACTGCTCTATTCTATCTCATCTGGTTCCGAAGTTATACGCAAAAATGTGCAAAATATAAATTGCTGATTCAGCACATTCTGTGACGTCATAAGCTGGGTAAGTATGTTTATTGAATAGTAAACTAAAGCATAGCTGAGTTATTATTAGCTCAAATCAAATGAAATTTTGCATACAGATAGTACATGATGAGATGCATGGGAAAAATACTTCTAATTTCGTTGTCAAGGCAACACAGTTGTTCCCAGGCCCCTTACACTGATTTTGAATAACTAGTTGCATTTATCTATGTGTATGTCATTTTCGAATTATTATCATGCAAGTAAACTTTTGGCATGCATAGGTATCATACACATACTTCTGATATTATTTTGTTCTTATCAGTACCTTGAATAAAGCTGTTTCATAAAATTGGCGCAAGGGGCCTGGAAACGACATTGTTACCTTGGCAACAAAATTAGAAGTGTTTTTCCATGCGTCTCATCATGTACAATCAGTATGCAAAATTTCATTTGATTTGGGCCCATAATAACTGAGCTATGCTTAGTGTAGTATTCAATAAACATACTTACCCAGCTAATGACGTCACACGTTGTGCTGAATCAGCAATTTATATTTTCACATTTTTGCGTATAACTTCGGAACTAGATGAGATAGAATAGAGCATTAAACGGCCAATCGGCTTATTTTTTCATGCTCTTTCAGATGAAGCAATAAGATAGATGAAGCAATTTTTGTTGCCAATCTCCTTTAAATGACATCACTTGCTGACATTCTCGTACTTTAAATATTGCTCAGTTGTTATTTTATAATGAAAATATTCTTTTTTTCTCGGCTGCCTGCGTTGCCGTAAGCCCTGGCCCCTGGGACAAGCCGAGGCAGAAGTGATTTGATTGGTCGTTGGAAATAGAGTGAAATATGAAAAGTTTATTCATCAAGTCACAGACTAAAGATATAAAGAGGCGGAACTCGAGGCAAATCATGTCCCCACTTTTTTAATGCGCATGCGCGACCCTCTGGCAAGTGTCATGCACATTTTTTATCAGGAAAAAGATAGGAAAATGCAAAAATTTTGGCAGTAAAACGGCGATTTTAAGCGCAGTAACCGATCAATCTTCATTTTCTACACGAATTTCGCAAATAAATGGCACACTGCGTCTTCTTAGCAAGAAGGAATTCAACGAATACCATTTTTAACGGCGAAAATGAGAAAAAACGCCCGAAGGCGAAGGAGTGAGAATTTCTGGCAATCTGAAGATTTGATTCTGTAGACATGAACTCCAGCTGGAACTTGGCAACTTTATATGTGAGTTTTTTTTCTCTCTGTGACACATACTGTTTATACTCTGTGATCAAGTGGATGTTTATATTCGGCAATCGATGGCTGCCTTCAAGGAGTGCGCGTTCGAAATACGAAGAAATACAAACGTATACTGCTTGTTTTCTATGGATTAATGGAGATAATTTGCAAACAGAAAGAAAGAAAATAACAAAATGGACAATTATAAAATCTGCCTACGGAAATTTGGCAATGGCCATCGTTGAATTGCATCCCAACTCTTACAATTTATACATTTTGACTAATCGCCATACAATGGTAAAATCTAAATAAAATATTTTGTACGTGCTATGTTATCAAAATGTAAATCATGAATGCGCACATATTTGTATACGAGTTTTACTATGATTAATCACAAAACTTAGATCGTGTATAAAAAATTATATATTGTATTGTTTGTTACAACGGAAAGATACAACGCTGAAGAATTTGACACGTACCGCTCTACTCCCCTCTAGTTTTAATTTTAGACGGTAGATAGTTGCCGTTCGGCATCACAAAATATTTAGAATATTACATAGCCTGCATGGCAGGCGGTCTAAAATACCGCCTGCTGGGTTTGGCAGTGTAATTTGATAACCGCCCACTTTTTTGTCCGGGTCCAATTAGCCAATCAGCAAACACTAAATATATTAATAATCAAACTGTCAAACTATGTTATTGTTTGGTCGCAAAATTGCAAATGTTTAAAAATATGTCGAAAGAAACGCCATTGAAAGTTTCAATCAGGACCGAATAAGGCGAATAACGACAAGAGGTAGAAAAGCAAGCGCGGAAAATGTAAATGACTTGTCGTTTGTTTAAGTGTGCTTTGACACTAAAATACGGGGCAATACGCCAATAGAGAAAATATCTTATATTCTTATATATCGTTGGAGAAATTATTTATTTAAGACAAGCAAAAGAAACGTTACGACAGTGGTAAAACCTTGGCCGAAATAAGCCGAATTGCCGGTTCAGTTAATTTAGGAATCGAAGTTAATTCTACCTCGGAACACGTGAGCGAAATATCCGAAATGCAAGCGAACTGATTGCCATAATCAAACGAGACATAAACGCGTTGCCTGTGTACGTTCGAACAAATAGACAGTTGTATATTAAAAACCTAAGTTGCCAATATGAACTGTCTCGTCTCCCTAACGAAGCCGTGTGGTAACGAAAGCCTTAAAAAGTTCAGAAAGTGAAGCGGCTATTAATAGGCATAGGCGTAATAGACTAATAGTCCTGTTATAAAACCCATTGCAAGAAAGACTATACGGCCGTCTGTATCTATTCTCGTTATATTTTCTCGCGCCAACAAGAACAATGTAAAAATCAAGCTTTTCCCATAGAATGGCCAAAACATTCTTTCCAAGGAGTAAATCTTTAACTGCTATCTCTTGCTCGCGTTTGACAATCAGTTCGCGTTTCTTTCGAGAAGCGTTCAGTTTTACAAAACCTATTAATTAAAGTGAACGCATGCATCATTAAAGTGTCAAACGTATGTTTACATATTAAAGTGTATTCACTTTTGAGTGACAGCGGCTCAGACTCGTAGCCAATCATCAATTCCCGTCCACTGGTGGACGGGGAATTCGATTACACTGCCAAACCCAGCAGGCGGTATTTCCCAGGCTTGCCCAATTTTAGGAACCGCCTGCCATGCAGGCTAAATATTACACTGTATGCATATTTATATGCGTTGATTTACCGTTGAAAATATTCTGATATTTTCAAATCTTTTCATGGTAGCGACCAACCAATCACAACCCATTTCCCTGTGAATTAGCCAATCAGCTTTGTCGACCGCCAGACGGTCGACTTACATGCACTTTTGACAACATTTTCATCAGACCTACGTTTCGCCTTTCGTCGACCCGCGAATTTTAGGGCGGGCGAAACGTAGGTCTGTTATCAGGCTAAGTCATCGCAGGCTCAGGGTGCAACGTGCTCCAGTGACATATTCAGTTCAGTTTCAAAATGGCGGCTTTTCACTGAGCGATCTAATATATATTTCACACAGTTTCGTTGAATTTTCAAAGAATTGTGCCTGTTTCCTATGGATT